CTATTTATCCCGAGCGTGCTCTGCCACACTCACAACTCCCATCCTGACGTCCAACAGGCACATAGAGAGCCTTAGAGTAAAGTGATTATTTGGTGACATTGAAAGGTCCTAGGAGACCCTGCTCTACGCCATGTGTGCTTAAAGGCACACCTCCAAGGTACTTGCTTATGATGGGCATCTTACGTAAGCTGTTCAGAATGGCAATTTTTTGTCAACGATTGTATTGTATCCACTCTTTCTACAGAACGGTTTGTCTCTTTTGCCGTTCGGTCACACAACAGGTCGGTTCTGCATCCATGATGAGGCAGCCGGGAGCATGCAGGCAGGCAGGTCTTTCACGTGCTGACTCAGTGCTTATAGTAATAAACTTTGTAGTGTAGAATGGGGACGCTGAAAAGTAGCATTACCACCAGCACAGTTTGGATTGGCACTGACGGGAGGTAGTGTTAAGGTCTTTGAGACATTGAAATCACTCAAATCCTGCACGAGTACTTGGATTTTACGTCCCTCTTCTCGGGAGACTTTATTCGGCACCAAACCCTCCTCCATACACTACCGTGCTTTCACCTTTCTTATTCTGTTTTATTTAGTCTAGACGGAGCCTTTTCTTATGTATCTTGAAGAAGTCGTTTACCCCCCCCCCCCCTCCCTAAAGTAGTTACACCTACTTTTATCGCTATCAGTAGTGCGCGATGCACCGGACTACTGCAAGCGGTCCTGATGCATACCTTTTGAGAGAGATACAAATGTTTCACCTCAAATGTGATCAAAAGGGTTCAGGTCTTTCTACAGTTTCCGTCGATAAACTAACAGGTAAATCAGATGAGTTTACATCTCAATGTCATCTGATGCCAGATAGAAGACTGCAGCTGTCTAATGTCAGGTGCAGACTTCTGGTTACCAGATTAATTTGTCAACACGTAATCGTTATTGGGATTGAACTCCAAAAAGTGTCTAATATGGAAATTAGTTCGGCTTAAAATAATACTTAAGCTCTTATAAAGGTGACAATGGTATGAAATCAACACACCTTGTATTCCTTTGTCGCCTTTGTGTCCACGTCCTGAAACACAGCTATGCTTCCTTTGTGGTCCACCTTAAAAGAAAAGCGACTACATTACTGTCATTAAATGAGGCAACAAAAGCAAACGGGACAGCATTTTCACAGTGCCACAATTTTTTTCTCACTACAGCTTGAGGAACTGGAGGTTCGAAGAATTCGACGTTGGAAGGGGAACTGGCAGTTAATCCTCCAACTGCATTTGAGAAGTCTGAGTCTGGCTCCTCGGCTGTTCTGTACGTCAACAATGCATATTTCAATACTGAAATGCATTTTTACGTACTACGCAGTGTAATTGCTTTGTTTACTCCTTTGCTCCAAAGCATACTTACTTTCCAAGGCATTTAGGCTAACTTCCAGACTTTCGATATCCTCTAAACATCAATTAAGGAGTGGATATTCGACTACAGAGCGTCGCCGAGTGATCTTCACCACACGAAACTACGACAGCTGCCGCTACGGAGGCATAACAACAATTCGAAGCCGCGGCAAGAGGTATGCAAACTCACCTCGATGAGATTTTGCCCAAGTGAATACACAATCCCGCGTTTCTTGCAGATATTTTCCAACGCGTCCGAGTACTTCTTCACACTGAACATAGCCTTCGTGGCGGTGAAATAAAGAATTTGTGCATCTTTATTGCGACCTCTCTACAAAACCAATACAACTTTTACGAAAGGAAAAGGATGTAAAAAATTTCTGAACGGCGAAACAAGTGGATATGAAGCAAAGGTAATAAGTATCATCGAAAAAACTGCCAGACAATGCAAAAAAATATCATTAGATGACCTAAAAAAGTCACGTGGCTTTCGATACGGGCTGTTCCAACGACTTGACCCGGCACAAACTGTAGGGGCTTGTAAAGTACATGCGTGCGCTCTGAAGTAGGGGGTAAACATGCCCAGTCCACCGGTGCGTTGCCTCTTATTATGCTTTTGTTCATTCTCCCTCTTGCTTGGAACCCTCATCTCATCAAAGGTCCGTTAATCGAATCTCTTGGGGGTAATTCAAGTTTTTCGACCTTGAGAATCAATTTCAACTCTCTTCCATACCTGTGAAGACCATTCTCTTATCTTTTTTACACAGCATTTCAAGAATGTGAGGTATCAGGACCCACCATCCAGAGGCACTTTGCAGGCTTAGTTCTACTGCCGTGTCACTGAAAAATAGACATGATATACCGAGGAGAAAAACAAATCTTGGCAATTATGAGGCATGACATGCTACCATTGGTAAAGACAAACAGATTGACGGGTTAAGAGCAATTTAAAGCAGTGTTTAACGTGAATGATGAAACGTCTGGTCCACATCCACAGCAACTGAGGAAGTCGTGAAACTTCTCTTTTAAAAGCACCAAACTTTTAAAAGTGCTTCCAAGACTGTGTGTGTGACAGTACAAACCTTGAAAAGTAAAATAACGAATAATACAGAATGACTTCAGTGCGTTTCTTGGAGTTTTAACTGAAAAGATAGCATCAAATCAGATGCAATAAAAGGACGGAAAGTCCTTGGTAGCGAAAAGAACGTGAATTTTAGCCACCATCTGCTTCATTAGAGAATAATGCAAATGAATGAGGCAAGTGTGTGATTCTTCGATTAGTAGAATATGAAATGACTCCTACAACTCCGGAAAACATTCTAGATTTGATTAGCTAGAAGCTCACATTTCCATTGGTTACTTCCCGACCGCTCCCATTCACTCCTTCCTGATTGGTTGACAGAGCACTTATAGTGACTATAGGGCTAAATTTAATCAAAAACTGCGAGTGTGCGAAGTCAAAGACCACTGTTGGCCTCTGACGTTCTCCACCAGCCAGCCGGCCGACACGCACGTGGGCGCGCTTCATTACCCATACACGTTGGCAAATAAAGGGGTCTGTATCAAGGTCTCGCCCACTAATTAGTCCCTCCAGTTGGGGAGTCTGACAGGGCCTGATCTCGCATTCACAAACACCAAAACATACCATTCACTGATGAGAACAGTCATGATAAGCTCAATGCTCCTTAAAGTTTAAGTCTACTAATGATAGAGGTGAGGAGATCATTAAAGGTAAACTGATAGCGCTAGAGAAATATCTCTTTTGAATTGAAAGCTGGGAAGAAACAAGTCTTCCGGAAGAATTGATTAATTTTAAGTTGCAAAATAGGCAATAAAGGGGCAAATCATGGGTCTTCTTAGCTAGTGACAGAACTCGCTTCTAAGGTGAAACCGCTATGATGCCCAATCTTGTGGGAAAAGAAAAGTACTCCCCCAAGGGGCTGAGAGGAAAATTGACCACCACAGTCTGGACATTTCATGAATGTGACGCCAAACATCAAGAATTCTTTGAGCAAATAGTGCAATGTACCGAAATTCTTGACCATTAACTGATGGAAGACAGGCGTCACATACATGTGACGCCAAACCGGTATAACGAAGGGTTCAAAAACACAATTTAACCGGATATTTAGTTGCTGGGACCTTTTGTATTAATCAACTGATGTACCGTGTCTCATTATTGAGGGTCATCTAAACTTATAGGTGTTGGTGAATATACTACTTAGAAATTCCAACCTCTTAAGGTTGCTGCTACTCCAACTTGGTCCCTTTTACATTTCCGGATGGCATGAATAAGCTTCTTTCTTAAATTTGAGGCAAGAGGTGAATGTTTGTGTCGATTTTTGATTCCATCAAGAGTCAGTGAACTGGGATAGAAGTACAAAATAGTCAATTTTAACAAGAAAAAATAAGGGACAACAAACCTTGGCTAGATAGTCTTCAAAGAGATACATGATTTTTTGAGGTGCGCCAGCACACTTGATGGGTGTGTGAGGTAGGGTGAAGATGGCTGTGCCATGGTCAAAGTGTTGAAATGCTTTGAAAGTCTTCTCCACATATTGTGCGGAGTAGTTGGTGCAAACCCGGGCATCCTCATCCAGGGCCGCCTTCGCCCCTTTGATCTGAGACAGATAATAAGGTGAAAGAATGGACTGAAAATTGTCCATGAGATGATAAAATGATGCAAACATTAGAAAGAATCAAGTGGTAAACAAGGGGAGTTCAAGTAGCCCACGCAATAACAAGTGACGACTGAGTGGCATGGATCAGTCCGCACAATATTATTCAGAATGACAGTGTTGAATGCATGAGGGTGCGCCTAGACAGCTTTGCGTTCTTCATCGATGATCCAGCGAACCGGACTACCCTAGGAAGGTCTAACCTTCTGAAGTAGTTACGCAGAGTTAGCAGAAGACTACGCGGAAATGCAATTACTGGAATCTCCGAACCAGAGTGACACTGACACTGCCAACTAGAAACCTTACTAGTCGCTATCCTGCATCGACTCATCGTGTCACTCTTTACTCACTCAGGGAAAGCATTTATTCTGAAGGCCTAGACATGGATTATCCAGTTGGGAGTTCAACAGACTCCGGGCCACTCACACATAAACCTCAGCATATAACAGTTGGCGACTCAGTTTATAACATACGCACGGACGCCTTTTTTCAAAAGGACACATGCTAAATGAATTTCACCAAAGTCAACAAAGTGGGCCACCGCCGTGTGACTTGGAAATTTTTTAATTCTTTAATTTCCCTCGATGCTGGCCTCAACCCACTTAGATAATATCCTAGTCGAAGCGGAGGACAAAATCGTAGCGAGTGTCCAGACAGGCTTTCAAACAAAATACGGGATTGTTTTGTGGTTGTGTTTAGTTACACACATGATTATGTCAAACATTTTGTCTTCCATGAACGTGAAGTGCAGCTCTGTCTCCCAGTCTTCCGATCTGCCAATTCAGCCTTCCAAAGTCATGAGGAGTAGTTCAAGCACTACAGATGCCTCAGCACTCCATTGATTTTGCCTAACTGTTATCAAACGCTTACAAAGGGATTGCCATAATCCACTTCTTTTGAAAGCGTAGAACAAGTTCCTTTTCAAGTTGTCTGTGTTAATTTAATGTGGAACCAATAAAAGCATGCAATAAAATGTCATCAAATAAATCCCCAAGTTGAAAGTATTAATGATACATCTTCACGGAAAGGCAAGAAAATAAAGTATCAGTGAATACTATGCCTTTTTTTAGTACTTTAGCTGTTTGTTTGATAATGGGCCACTTAGGGACTCCGTAATTGCACCTCCACCGGATGGCCTGGCCTCCGAGCGATGTCAGCAGCTCTAAGCCCTATTGTACGTAGACAGTAAACTTCAAGCCTAAGTATTCTATCCTTCATTTTCAGGGAAGTCTCCGGGGCGTCAAAATGCTGGCAGCGGAAAGCGAAGCCGATGCTTAAATGACACCCACCCTGATATCTGCTGATGGGTGATGAACCTTAGCGAGGTGAAGGAAGTGCATATGCTACGGATGAGGGAATCTGTGACGACCCTGCACAGAAAATAACGTCTACCTTAGCCAACCACCCCAGTGCCGTGTTGTAAAGCAACACTAGTCGTAGATCGTCTGAAATGGTTAGTTAGGAGCTGTAGAATCGCGATACCTCCACCACCTCTCTACCAGCTGCCTAGAAACTAGACAGATATGGCTGGACAGCACTGAAGTAAAAAGAAAGTGACAAGGAGGAATTAACGCAAAACCTTATCCCCAGTCCTTTGTCATATGACCCTACCTTTAGGCCGGTGTTCCTTCAACTAGCTATGGACATGCATGATGGCCAGCACATTCCCTCGTCCCGCAATATAGTTACCATAAAGGATGAAACTCCAGATCCAGCAGAATTGGAAAGAGGGATCAGTGATGCAGCGGTCAGGTATGTCCTCAGTTGTATGGAAGTTTTATGACTGGCGCGGTTGGCTCGCGGGTAATTCCTTACAGCACCGATTGCGTTTAGATGGTTGACGCAGGACGTCAATCTAAGGAGAGCGCCGGAGACGGCGCTCAAAAGAGTAGAGGGGCCATACAATATGTAATATGTTTATTTAACTCTAAGTTTTAGTAAAGGGGCCACTTAGGTGCGCCGCCATTGTGCTACAACTGAGCAGCGTGGCCTCCGGGCCATACCAGAAGCCCCAAGCCCCACCCTACACCGGAAAAACATATTCTGCCCGAGTATTAGGTCCTTTTCCGTCTTCAAAGCGGTCTCGGAGCTCTACGCTTGATTAAGTCAGTCATAGAAATGGGATGCTTCGTACTCAAGAGGTAAGCCAACATCAGCCTTGATGAGCTAACTCACCATGTCAAACCGCAACTTGAAGCCCACGCAGATGACTAGGTAGTCGTAGCTTATCTAAAATCAAGGCAAAACATTTATTAAGCACAAGGTTAAGGGATATGCAAGGGGGGACGTGAAAAGGTATAGTTAACCACGATATGATGAATAGCTTCCCTCAGTAAGGAAAGTAAATTTAGGCAAATCTTTAATAGGAATGCTACTTCCACAGACGTGATGAAGGGGCACAAAATTTTTCAGTCGAATCAATTGTTATTGCCAGTCTTCAGTAATTTCTTAATTCATGAAGTTTAGTCTTCCCCAAAATCGCAGCCGAAAATACTTTAACAGAGAAGTGAGGTGCTCAAGACCCTCCCCTCTCACCTCATTGTTCGGTACTACGCCTAGAGAGCAATTTCTCTGCATCCCGATAACAATGGAAAGGTTTGACGACTAGACAACAGTCAAAAATACGATGGAGCTGTGTAATCTGTCTATCGTGGTTGTGCATGGCTCAAATTACCTAATCCGTGTTCTTCTACTTTCAGGTTTTGTGATGAAATTTTATTCCAGTTTGACCTTGACGCAACGCTGTAATTGGACAATTTCACGAGAACCCCCAAAATGCAGCCAAAAAGGAACTAGAGTTTATTTTCAAGAATAGAAAATCTTCATACTTCACATACGCGATAAAAGCTCTTCAATCTTCACTTCTAAATGCTCATTCCTACTGTATAATTCCTTCTACTGCACCGCATACCGAGGAAGTAGCTCGATACACCAAGGACTAAGGTTTACCATGTTAAGCTAAACAGCGTGCGGATCCACCACATGAGAATACAAAAATGAGAAATTACCAAGACATGGGGTAATAAAATTTCAACCTTTCGTTAGGGAGCAGCCCAATGAGACCGTGTGATTATAAATTCACTGACGCAATAACAAGATAACGGAATGAAAAAAAACAGGTGATGCAATAAAGGCCTCTTTTCCCTGTATCTAACTAAAAGCGAGTTATTTGGTTAAAAATCCATCCCTTCTATTGTCACTGCATGAAAATTCTAGAAATAATCGCCGAAATGTGCGTCAGAAACGAAGGTTAGCACTTTGAACCAATGAAAAACGTTAGATAAGCTGGAGAGAATCATTTACAAGTAAAAATGCAACTTTTAAATTTACGGCAAAGAAAAACGTGGATTTTTAAGCAGAGAGCGGCTTCTCACTACCCTGTTAAAGGATCCAGATCAAACGGCAAATATAGGCATCTGAACTCGGATGGGGCTCGATGGATTCAGAGCCTCGGAATCATGGCTGTTGGCGTCAATACTTCAACAAGAGCCAGACTTGATAGGAATGATAGCTGTATTACCTTTTAGGCATGCGACCACTTCTTGAAAACTGAGAAACATCCTTCAATTCATATTAACCGTGCAAAAGATTTCCATCACGATGGAATACAGAGCGAAATAGTGAGAAAGTAAACAGAATAGGCAGGTGAGAAATAAAACTACTGATGTAGAAACGGAGGTGAACAAGGGCATTCCATTATCATACGCTAATTGCTTGCTTAACTTTCCGTTTTGGTAACGGGTCACTTAGGGTCTCCGCCACTATCTCCACTGGGGGGCCTAGCCTCCGGACCCAGGCCAGTCGGCCCAAGCCCTTATCTGCGTCGACAATGCATATCCTGCCCATGTATTATATCTTCTTTCGTCATCTGGAGTCTTAGAGCGCTGCATTACCTCTTCTTGGCCTACTAAAGCAGAACTTGTTTCATAAGTGTTGACCAGCCCCCACAATTGTGTCGTTTTGTAGGGGGAATAATACAAGTGGACAGCTCAACTTTGGAGGCCAGATACTGAATGACAGTACAATTCTCCTCCTTTCCACCACTTTCACTCAGTATACGACTTGTTTATGAGGGAAGTTGCTCTGGAAATGAAAATGCCCTCGCTAACGAGGAGGCAATGACCCCGGCGCGATTATAGACGCCCTTCTCCCACATTACCCCCTTACTTGCGCTTTTTCAAATCGCGAAAGTTGCTAATGTGTAAATTACTAATTTGTCTCGAATTTTAAGGCAAAATTTCCATGGGGTCATAGGAGGTATTTGCCGAAAAGAATTGGCTCCTATCACTTACCCAAGCAGGTTTTTTTACCCGCATTCCACCTCAACCAACCAATGGTAACCGTTAGTTTACCAGATGCGGTCGTGTGTAGTACGTTGACTGTTTAACTCTCGGTTTTGGTGAAAGGCTCTTTTTGTCTTGATTGTTATACCTCGCCGCGTGGGCTGGCCTCCGCGCCATGCCAGTAACCCTAACACTTTCTGCCCTAGTAGCATGTTTTCATTCGGCTTCAGGGACGTCTCGGAGCGCTATAGTGATGGCAGCGGAAAGCGAACCCGATCCTAAAGGACATCTATCCCGATTTCTACTGCTGGGTGATAAACCTTAGTGGGGCGGAAGAAGTACATATGCTACGGATGGGAGAATTGGTGGTGACCCCAAACGGGGGGGCAGAAGTTGACGTCTACCTACGACAACTACCCCAGTCCCGTTTTTGCAGGAAAGATATTAACAACTGAAGCGACACTAACCGTGAACCATCTGACAAAAGTTTAGTTACAGAGTTTCCCTACCGCACCTACATAAAGTTGTTAATAAAGTAGACTCGCGACACCTCTTCCACTTCTCTACTAGCTGGGTAGAGCTTGGCAAGGAGGAGAGGACGCGAAATCCTTCCCCCACGGACTTGCGTTAACTCCCGTCCTTCCTTACGTAAATCTGCTTTTAGGCCAGTGTTCCTTCGTCTATCCATGGACACACATGATAGCCAGCACAATTCCCCGTTCCTGAATCCAATTCCCAAACCGGACTAAACTCCAGATCCGGTTGAATTGCCAAGACGGATCAGCGACGATGAGGTCAAGTATCTCCTCAGTTGCGTAGAAATTTGATGACTGGCAGAGCCGACTCGTGGGTGTTTCCTTTATGATGGCTGACGCAGGAGGCTGACCAAGGGGATCGCCGGGGACGACGCTCAAAAGAGGAGAGGGGCTATGTAACACGTTGGTTATTTGTTTAAATCTCTTTGTCTTGGCCATTATATCTCGCCGGGCGGGTTGACCTCTGGGACATGCCAGTAGCCCCAATACCTTCTGTCTGTTGAATATATATATTCTGCCAGAGTATCATGTTTTCATTCGTCTTCAAGAAAGTCTCGGGTTATCAGATGATTCAAACATCTTTGAAAGACTTTATGCACGTGGGAACCCCCAAAACCCCGTAGCCGGAGTCCATTCATAGCCCCGGTATTAGCTGCGGAAAATTCTCACCATATGAAAATAAAACCTACACTTTTGTGAGGTTTTAACTAACAATACCATTAAATGCAACTGCTTTACTCTCCAAGTGAGTGGATGGTGCAGAATGACTATATTTAATACGAATTTCTCATCAGAAAAAAGAAGATAGCCTCTTTTTTGTGAGGTTAAAATCTAGTGAAAGTTCTCCAAATGTTATTCTTAGTATTCGTAAAAAGGAGGGCAATAGGCCAAAAGCAGTTTAATGAAGCACAATTAGTTTGGTGACCTATTTATGAAAATGCTTACCACTAAGTCCGCTCTGGATAGATGCGCCTTAGCACGGGTTTTGCCCCACTTACTTTGAGAAGAAAACCAACGGATACTCCGCCAGTCCGACAAAATGCTTCGCGTTCATAAATGGTATACGCACATCCATACCGTTCACCTAGTGGTACCGACAAGGTACTTGGAGGAAAACGTCGTTTTGAGAATCGCAACTTACACCCCATGGACACAGTACAGTACACAGTGTCAAATCACGTAGAGAGTGGATGGACTTGGTAAATGGGAGCTCCCGTGCATGAAGCTATATCGTTAGAGTGAGTCTTTATCCATTGCGGGAATAGAAAGTGGATTAAACGTATGCCTGAGCATCTTGGCACAAAGTAGACTTTGATTAAAAAAAATCATCCCAACAGAATGATTAATTTCGAGTCAAATAATTCCGACTCTGAAGACAGGTATAAGTTTCTTTTTTGTTCACTTTCTTAGGACTATCTTGCAACAATTAAAAAAGACATGCCAACAGCACTGGCAAGTATGAATGCCAAAATCGGAACCGACATGAGCACCTGCTTCAAGCAAATGATAAGGCTTTCAGCCTTTTCAGGACTCAGATCTCGCAGATGTTTACCATTTATCAGTCTTTCCATGACGTCGATAGCGACATGATGACGTGAATGAGGTCTTCTTCCAGTAAAACTGCAGGTATTAAATGTGCTGATTCGGTATCTTAAATGAATGTGCGTCTAACTCTCCAAGCACTTTAGTCAGCGGTGGTTGTACTTCCACTCTGTGGTTTGGCACGTGAGTTGCCTTGGGGACTCGGAGCACCAAATTAACGTTTTAATTCAGTTTTTTTTCTTTAATACACAAGTTGAAAGAAAGAAATTTCACAACTTTGCCACAAAATATTGTTGTCTTAAATAAATTAGTAGAATTTGTGGGATTAGTTGGTCGCACTTAGAATGGTGGGCTGTAGAGGCCACCAAAGATCAGAAAATATATCACTCAATACAAATTACGCATTATCTCTGGAAACAAAACACCCAAATTTTATGTTAGAAGACGAAATATATTAAGATCTGGCCTATAGCCCCGCGCATTTTAAATGCAGCTCGATAACTGAATGTCGGCTCTGACAACCTTAAAAAAGTTCACTCGCCATTTTTGTGTTCATTTATGTAAGCATAAAGTACTACAAATCTATATTAAATTTCAAGGATTCAGATTACGATCAGGAGATCTGGGAAGTAAAGTGAAAATGGGTAAAGTAATAAAAACCTTCTCTTAGCGTGAGGAAATTGTGAAATGAAGCGCCACGGATCTTGGGATCTGTAACAGTTCAAGCCATCTGTCAACGATTTTACTGACATATCTCGGCAAGGAACGGTATAGGTTTAACGACGTAAAAATCCTTTCAGTAGTGGGTTCAGCTAATCAGTCGTTATCTTCAAGTCACAGCGCCTCGGTTTGTGAAAGCTACGCCCAAGCCTTGCGTTGAGTTGGCAATAAACCTTCATCTATACTGCTATACAAATATTACACCCCCGAGACTATGTTAGTGACAGCGTCAGACGAGTTCTAACTTCGTTGGCTAAATACCACACCAAAACGCTACCGGAGGACAACTGCCGTGAATGACTAAATTCGGGAGAACTCACATCAGAAGAGACATTGAAATTGCACGAAACAATAAATTTGATGAATCAAAGCCTGCAGAAGGACGGGATATTCCACAATACCAACTTCGTTTACGTGTAGCATCCTCTGGATGGTGGAGTCGCATCGTTTAACCTCCATTCCTGCATCCGTGTTAATAACATTTTGCAAAACCAAAGTATCAGGAAACTGAGTAAAGTCGTGATGTCTTTTAGAACCCCACCAAGCCCTTACAAGCTATTAATCTTTCCCAACAGAGCATGAACTTGCTGCGAATTTTGCATATTAAAAAGAGTTTACCTCTGGAAACCAAAATCCCAACCCTAGCCACCTCTTCTGACTGTCTACTCTATTTCGGATGTTTTCAAGTGATTGTTGATTACCACTGGTGAGAAGAGGTGAAAAGTATCACTGAGAGCAGTATCATCAGAGGGTAAGACGGTACCTCCCTCCCTCCATCCCCAGGGCTGAGATGAAGGTGATTTATGCAACCTGGATCCAAGCAACAAAATGATAGTGACAAAGGAGAAAGATATCAACCCTCCCACAAAATTGCGTGACCTCTTTCCTCAACCACGGCCTAAAGCTACCAGATGAGCAGAAAGTTCGTCTAATTTTCGCAGCAGGCTGCAGCAGTAACTCCTGGAAACTTGCAGGAACTTGCAAAGCGAATGCAACTGCTTCCATACATACATATATTATCCGGCAGAGGTGCAAGCGTGCTCCTCAATATGACACGCCTTTGTATGATGATCACTTTAACAAATAAACCACTTGATAAAACACTCTACGGTTATTTATTTCTACCATGCCAACTCAAACGGGTCCATTTACCCATCCTCGCATGTTGGAGCCTTTTAAAGCAGGTTCCATGTTGTTACGTTTTATTGCATTAGTTATGTCGAAAGATTTTCACAGAATGTGTCAAAAGCCAACAAAAGTTTTTTCCCCTAGGAAAGCATAACGTTGGACTGTAAACAAGATTACTCAGCCCATCAGTCAGAGAGGTTAAAATTCACGACCGGAAAACATACAACATCACTAAGACGTCCTCCAAACCTTTTAAAGTATGGTCCCACCCCTGCAATCCCAGTAGGAGAGTGGTGTGGGCGTCAAGGGGGGAGGGGCGGAGACCAGGACGCTATTAATGGAGGTGAAGCAACTTCCACGAAAGCGTTCAAATGGCTAATGTCTGGAATACCTTAGATGGTCACTCAAACGGAGATAAACATCTCTTTCATGTGTGTAGACTAACATCCCCGTGGATGATGGTAAAGAGCCCGGTTCAGGACACCTGCTCACCCTCTGTGCTACCAGCAGATCAACCGATTGATGGAATGCAAAGATAAAGATAACAGGAACTTGAGAGTGAAATAAAAGACGATTGTGTGGTATAGGAGAGATAATAGGACCAAACACTACGCAAGCAGCACCACTCCCTTCCCACCTTCCTTTTCCACAGTCTGGAAGTTGCCATCAGCGCCGAGACTGTTTGGTTGCAATTCAATGCTTTACAACAGTCAGTCGCCTATTTCACTACACCTGACAGTCAAAGGAGAGAATGCAATGTTAATTTAAATCTATCTGTAAGACAAGACTCAAGAAAAATCAACTTTTCCAGGACTTATACTTACAATTTTTGTTGCTGCTACCTCGATCCGTCTCAGCTTAGGTCTCACAAGGGCAGCACTTGTGATAAGAGGCCAAAATTGAAGGCAAAAGTGGCATTTCTCATTTAGTACTTAAATTATTTAGCATTTGGTGGCCAAATACTTCGCCCCTTGGCACCTCAAACTGCGGTGTACTGATGGAACTCCTCTATGTAAGAAAGTAGGGATCTTAGCAATGACAAAGAGTACGTCATTGCAACACAATGCTCGGTGGAAACATGCAAAGGTGAGCATTTCAGCGCTTGTAACGCTATGGGAGTTAAACGCCATAAAGGTGGTCTTCTTCTGCCTTTTTAAATCCACAAGTCCCGGTTTACATTGAACAGCATTGTCACCAATTCAATTTCATATCAGTAGATCTGGAGAAAAGAAACTGTCCAGAGGGTTTATAAATCAGTCTCGGATAAGTGGCATATTACCTGTGTGTAACTCAACCCAGAGCCTAATTTTATACAAAAAATCATTTTTATTGATACAAGGAAGATTACACATTGCTTAGCTGATGTGTAAAATAGGTGGGGTAGGTTTTAGTGAAACCGTGCCTCCTGGACAAAACTCCCCATGAAGGATTCAAATTAGGCAGCTACTAAGTACATTCACCGTGAAGATCCGAGATGCTTATGAATGCTCAGATTTGGCATCAATCGTTACTGAAAGGGACAGGTACCCACAGAACAAGAGATTCCTACACCTCAGCCGAGCTATTTACGACACACGAATTAGCAATAAACGCCTGTCACACATGCGAGACGCTGGTGACAGGTGTGCTGAAGGAGCTTTGCTTTTTTTTTTTCAAGTCCGATGAACAAGTCGAGTTGTAAAAAAACCCCCACCTTATTTGAATGAAGTCCCACATTCATCCTGAGGAAAGGTGGGTTTGAAGACAAATGAATTTAAATGTACCCTAAGCATGAATTCGATTGAAGTTGTCAAACTTCTCATCGAATTAGAAAGTAGACATTTTCCTATTGAAACACGAATCTCCTCCTAATCAAGCTTTAAATTGTAAAGTGAAATAGTCAGCTGGAATGGGAGAAAAATAGAAGGACTTCAAGATATGCAAGGATCCGTGACGTCTTTGTGGGCTGAGAATTGCGCAAATCCTACATCAGTAAATTTAACACAAGCGTACCCGCTTGTCAAAACATAAAAAACCGAGACTGAATGTAAAAAAATGCCTTTTCCTTGCCCTTACCAAATCACAGGACTGAAACTTTTACTAACCATGCCAGCTCAGCTCAAAGCGTGGTCCCATAAGAAAAAAGTCCTTTCCAGATCCTTACTAATACTTGTGCTACCGGAGATGCCGCTACCCCAGAAACCCTGCTTCCATTTTCTGGAATCTCCACTTTCTCGGACGTTTTCGGACGTCGCGCTCTTACACGTTCCCTCCTGATTGGCCGAGTCAAGTTCAGATATGCTTCAAGTGTTCCAGCAATCACTGCAAGGTCAAGGTTGATCAAATACTGTAAATGTTGGTAGACTGAAAACAACCGTGTCTCCTTGGCATTCTCCGCTAGCCATTTAGCTGTCACGTCTGCGTAGAAGCTTCACCTATCGGTTATTCACTGCAGTTGAAAGCTCAACAGGATCCAAACAGGATCCAACAGGATCACAATCTCCAGTTTATAAAAATTACCAGCTCAAAAGCAGTTGAATTCCCGAGACAACTAATCTCACCTCTCTTCCTCCAGAAACCGTGACTTTATTGTTCTCTGGGTCAAAACCCACGATCTTGTCTTCAATCCATTCAGCGTTGTTCGGGATTGCCTCCCGAGTAGGAATTCGAGTTTGCGATAGGTCCGTAATCCCAGCACCAACTAGTGTCCAAGCACCTTGGTAGTAATGATGCTGATAAAGGGAAATAAAACATCGGCTATTACAACAAACTGATGGCATATGCTAAGCACGTGTAGGCTAGGGAGGTCATGCGTTTTAGCTTGTGCAGCGTAGGACAAGTAGGTGAGGATAGGCGATTCACATAGTCAGAAGGCGCAAATAATTTCTAAAGTGAAGTAAGCTAAAGTAAACAACCACAGAAAGCATATTAAATCTTTTTGCCAGCTGAAATGGTCATCATTAGAACCAATCATTTCATCCTGGCAAGACAAGTTTTGCCTTTATCAAAAGTCTTATCTCTAGAAGCCGGGGAAAAAACGCTTATTAAGGACAAGAAAAGGTAGCAATCCACAATTGGAGAAATATCATCACAGAAAGAGGAAGGATGAGAGTGATCCAATGCCTCCCCACCTTTCAGCCTTTAGTGAAAATCCTCTCACGGGTCAGTTTCGCAGCATGAAACAAGAAGTCTCGCATTCCCCTATGGGCACACAACTGTTTCTCAGGGAGGAGTCTTTTCCCTCACTTTTGAATCATGTATCGAGTCATTAGACCTCAGTCTCAATCATCACTTGACCTATCGACAGTCTGCACAGTTCCCTAAGGACAAAGTAGCGTGTGCCTTAGAAGTGTGGAGTAGTTAGTGGAAAATATGGGGATGATCACTATGTCTGTTCAGTTAGCGAGCAATGGAATATAAAAAGGACTTCTCATCACCAGTCGCAAAACAATTTAGCAACGAAGTGTTTTCATTGGAGAATGAATTGCCTGATTGGCGTGATAAGCTAACGGTTGCAACATTAAACTCAGAGAAAAAAACCGAGTTATTGCTAAATGTGCTGCAATAATTGCAACAAAAGCCCACCTTAATCACACACAGTACTAAAACAGTAATCTTATAAAGTAAAGAGCTTTAAACAAATGAATGGTTGCTGTTTTGAATAGATAGTTTGTAAAATCACTCCTACAATCTGTAACTATCCAAAGCACATTCAGAATTCATCATACTGACTTGGAATAAATGAGCATTTAGTAGAAAGAACGGTGGATTTCTATTCAACCAAGATGGAGAGTAAAAATGTCTTTAAAGGGAGATAGAAGGAAATCGTCGGACACTTGCTTTAAGAATACCTGTAAAAAGTTTATATAGATTTACCCATTAGTTGATATCGAGGTGATATTAGGTAGTGGCTGGACAAATATGTAGGAGATGGATGGATAGAGGAACGCTGTGATAGGACTAGGAATAGGAATGAAAGGATGGTTTGGGGATAGATGAATAAACGGAAAAATGTTTGGGCGTAGGTGGGTAAAGCAAGGATGAATGAATATATGAAGCCAAGTATGGATAAGTTTGGGTGCATGCGAGATAGGTGCATGGGCGGATGGATGAATATACGCAAGACTAATAAAAGAAAAGCGTTTAATGGATAAATGAGTTAGTAACGGAAAGATGGCTGGGTGGATTAAAGGGCAAATCCACTGGGCCAGGGTGAATGGATTGATCTACAGTAAACAGGCAGCCAGAAATATAAATGGGAGGGAGAGTTAATGTATCTGAGCAAGAAAAAACAGATTGACGAATGAATGGATGGAAGGACAGAAGAGTGTGTGCGGATGTGTAGTTGGTCGGATGGATGGGCGTGTAGATCCGTGGTGAACGAAGAAACAAAGAGAATCATATGGGATAGATAAAGTCGTGAACAAATTGATGCAAAATGTATGGATTAAAATTTGAAGGAAAAAAGTACAAGTGTCTGTGAGATATTTGGCGTTGAACTGCATTAATGCTTTTGATTTAATCATTATGCTGGCCATTCGATAGGAAAGGAAACTCACCTCGTGAGGTTCGATGACTCCGACGGCTCCAGCTGGTAAAACACCGCGGAGTCGGGCGGCCACTGTGCATCCACCCGTGCCCCCACCGGCTATGAGAACCTGGTAGTGATTTTTTCCACTCGTGGCAAGCATCGCAACCTTCCGCACGGAGCCTTCCACCCGAAACCAATTAGGCTGTACTTTTAGAAGGAGAGATGACACTAAAGCTGCCATTGTGGTGTAACCTGAAACAAATCCAAAAGTTTAGGTCACTAGAGGTGAGTTGGGACCCAAAGTCTACCATAATAAACAAAACGAATGATAGTATCGCCTAAACCAAAATCACAATTTCTTATACGTGATGGGTTCAACATGAATTAGTGAAAAATACTACTCGTCGAAAAGACAAACTGGCACAACTCACGAGCCCCGCCTGTCTACAACCCAAGTGCCCGCCTTACCGAACGCCAGTATATTGCCCTTGAAAAGAAGGTATTTCAAGTATAAGATTCTTCCCATTTGATGAGACAAGTTTCATAAAAGTTTAGAGGAATGCAAGACAAAGTAAAAATACTACTTGCGTCATAATTTTTGCTTAATGTAGTAGTATTGATGGCGATCAGCTCCAATATTTGAACCATTGTCCTCAATTAAACATTAATATTTTATTTAGAAGCACTAAATGAAGAAGAGCCCTATGTTTTTTTAAAGCACTTATAGCAAAAAGTTTAGAGCATACCAAATTTTGCAGTTGTGCTTTTTTCGTAAGCATAAAGGAGCAATTATTCTAAAAATACACCTGACAAAATCTTGTCTTATAATTGTAATTTGTCATTTCTTATAACATTTTTATCATCGTTTGCTAATGCTTATTATTTCTAGACAACGTCTACCCTACATCTGTCTCTTAACGCGCTTCCCTGTATTTATTTCCTCTTCGCATGAGGGTACTTAAACAGCATTTGTACCTAGTCGAGAAAATTTGACGAAGTGTCTGGAAGTTAACGTTTAGTTTCTGCAAAGCCAAACTACGTCATGTCACCACAGAATGATAGCGTGTTTTTAGAGTATAGATGGTCTGGTTCCCTCTAGACTTAATCAGATGGCTACCTTGCCAAGACGAAAACGCAACCTGGGAGGACTGAAGATTTGTTGGAACTCAATTTACTATGGAAGCGTGCCTAAAATTGGCAAGCAAAATACCTCTGGTGATAACACTTCTGTTTATGTGAGCTTCAAAGATCTAACCAAAGCCCACCGTCAGCCGGTCATCGCCACCACACTTTACTCCAGAGTGAAGAACCCAATCCCACCTCAACCACTACTCGTTTCCGCCATAAAAGAGGCATAGGTAAATAAACAAGGCCTCATTGTTATCATTGCATCATACACGCAAGTATGCAAGGGGTGACAGTGACATTACATCAGCTCTTCATTATTCGCTCACCAGAGCTCTTTAACCGACGCAAACGCAGCACACACGCGCCCACATGTAAACCACAATGCGTAGGAGGTGACGGCGATGGCGAGGCGACGCCGATGAAGTAGACAAGCAAAGACCTTCCTTATGTACACATCTTTCTCCCTTTCAACTTCCGACGGCTGAGGGAAGGGTGGGACACTTAAAGAACAGGGGCTACTTTTGCTAATATAGGGAGAGGAGGGTGAGGGGTGGAGGAAACGTGTGGGTCGGGGTTGAGAAAGAAAAAGGACCCGGCAGTTGAGCGAGTTAGGAATAGACATAATGCTTCTTGCACAGCACTGTGAACTGCTCCTCGTTGAAATGGCATTCTACAAGGAGAGAAGGAAGGGAAGAGGTTTAAGTTCCTTCAAAAGAATTCACCGCACCCTCTCCCCTCTAAATCCGCGATGGGGAGAGGAAGATCGTCATGCATCACAAAGCAATTTTAACAAATAGGGAGGAAACATCCGCGCAAACAATACTATCTTACAATGTAAAATATAAAAATTACTCGTGATATACTTTGACCACCAGGATCTCAGATAATGCGGGATGTGTTTATAATATTTTGAATAAGTACAATAAGCTATTTTGCATGTAACGCGTCACGATTCGGCAAAACCAGCTATTACAACAAGGTAAATAAAACGTCAAACATGCGACGCCGGGCTCAGGTCACCTATTGTGCGTTCAATGCATGTTTCGCAAGACTAGCAACCATAAGCTCCGAGCTGACAGAACTGGATCACAGGAGTCACTTTAAAAATATGCAAAATCTATAGCTAATCTCCAACGCATTGCAAATCATTACAATCCCCAAAACCAGAATGATATTCCAGTGAATAAAAAAGCTATTCCTGTCTGCCAAAAATGAGATCCAAAGTATGCTTGTGCCTGATTTTTATTACTGTTTGATCATTCTCTGCTCCCAATCACTTTTTTACATAGTCAGTAAAAGTAGTCGTTTACAAGAGTCCATGATTGTCTGTAGAAGGGGGACGATCACCATACTAACGACCGTTCAATTGAATGAAGGAGAATTGAAAGGCAGAAACAAAACTTACCAGCAAGACGAGCACAGTTGTAGTGGTAGCAGAGGTTGCAACCATGATTTCGGCAGCTCAGAATCGCTCCGTGCTTTTTACAATGTGAGCAAACCTACCAACAAAGGGGGAAGAAAAACTGAAGCCCATCGAAACCGAGAAAAAGAATTCATTTAAAACACAAACACATACTAGAGAGGGGGTGTTCAAATCAAAACTAGACTTTTATTTCAAAGGACGATACTGCATTCGCAGTGTATCAGTGAGCATAATGTCTAACCCTAGAGAATCGAAGCATAATCTGCCATACAACAGCCCATGGAACGAATCTGGGGGCATGAGCATTTCTAGTTCCAAAAAAGCTCACGCACGCTAGGTACCAACACAAGACAAGAAGGCTGAGTGCTTCTCCAGCTGCTACTGCTTCCGTGGTACTGAGTTGGTGGAGCGTCTTGATAAGGAAGCCCGCAATTTTCTGCTTCTTACCGCTGCATCAAACAATACCTGACTACATCACTTACCTCTCGAGGCCAAAGGAGCACCAGATTAGTGGAAACATACGCAGACCAGTATTTCACCAAGAATTACGAGGTGAAACTGTCTATACTAGGCTAAATGTGGAATGATGGGCGAAGAATGAATCAGTCACACTGACAAATCATTTTATATTGAAGCTGCCTTCGGAGCAGTGGTTAGCCATAGGGGTAAGTGGACAAGTGCAGCTTACGCTCCTCGGTAATCGTTCCTTTTGCCTAACATAGTTGTGAGTCCCGGTTTGACCCGAACGACCCCTCATATTATGAGGTCATTTGTACCGTGGCGAAGTCATGAATGTTTCTAATTTCATATCCCATCCTTAATTTGAGCTGCAAAAACACCACTGTTCGAGGTAGAGCGGCACATTGTGGAATGCTAAATTGGCCTGCCGGTTCCATTGGCTAAGCTGGCTGGTATACGTCCAAAATTCACTACAGCCGACTAACCAGCCACTTCTCCCAAGGGGTCGCAATTCTGGATGGAAGATGGAAACCCAGACACGCTTAGTTAACTTCTCGGATTTGAAGTGCGTGTGCGGTTATGGGTAGATTCAACAATACGCTGACATTATAATGCATTGAAGTGGTACATAAGCCTTCTCGCTCCTGGCCTAGCATAAGATATTAGTAAGAATCAGCAGTTTTGTACCAATGATTAAAAGAAAGTAGCATAGCGTTAAAAATGCTGGCTCAACCCTCCTACCCAATGCAATACTCCAAATTCTACCTAAAAAGATCACAAGATAGGGCTTTGTGAATAAGTCTAAGGCACGGATTTCGTTTAATTTTGGCTAAACAAGACCAGAAGCACAAAAATCATAAGACGAAACCATTTATACATTGACAAACCGATACAAATTAAAAAACCTTGTTAATTCAGCCACTACCGCTTCTTGAATGACTACCATGAAAAAAAGCAAAATTCAGTAAGTACTTTGGAGAAAGACAAGGCGAACTAACCGTCTCCAGAGCCATGATAACAGCATCATCCAACCCTGCGATTTTTCCATCCCCCTGAATATGCGTCCCCGGCGCCCAGAGTACACATTCCAGATGGAACCACACCTCCCCCTCTCGACCAACCCGATTAGCCTCCGGATGGGCCTCCGCACCAGATGCTGCTGCCGCTCCCTCCAACGCTGTCGTCGACGCCGCCCCCCTCTTCCCCTTCCCCAGCCTCTTCCTCGTCTGCGGAGGTGGTGGCGACTGCTGAACACTCCGAACGGAAATGCTGCCTCCGGCTGGAGGAGAAATAGCCTTAATTATGAGACGAAGCGATGGTGAAGGTGCAAAACGGGTCTGAGTGGAGGGAGCGAGAAAGTAGGGACCATAGAGGGGTCCCAGACCTAGGAAAGACGGTGCTTCGGCGCAGAAAACGCAGCGCCAGGAAGGACAGGCTGCCTCGCTATAGCCTTCCGGTAGGCGGGCATCACGGGTGCTTGAGCCCGGCCTTAACGACGGTTTGTAGTGTGAGGAGGTGAAAAAAGAATGTAGGTCGGGGGAAAAGGGGGAGAGCTTATCAATAAATGGATGGTGATTGGGACCTCCGCTGGAGGACGCGCCAGCGTTTGCTGCCGCCGCCGCTCTCAAAATAGGGCAATCGATGTTTTCGTTGGTGGTGATTGCGGGATTGATTACGTGCGCAGGGTGGATCTGATGTTCATCATTAGGCTCTGTGGACTGACATGATTCAAGTGTTATCGAAGACTGACAAAGACAGAAATAGGGAGATTTGAGGTAGCGACGTTGCATATTAATTTCAGCCACATTGACGTTAGCGCTGGCTTTGTTTACACCTATGTAGGGACCCCGGGCACCGCGTTTTCGCATCGCCGATTTCCTAAAACAAAATTGGGAGAATGAACAAAATGGAACTTGAAAAAAAGGCAATGCAAATACAAAATTTTACAAGATGCTTACTTCTGAACACTCTCCTCAGCCCGTTTCAGAATGGCCGATCGCTTGCCGCCGGTCTCGAAATCGGAGTCGGCAACTCGCGACCATCGCTTCTTTTGCGGTCGACGCCTCTTAGCAGGAGCCTTGCGTGCCGGTTTTTTCACAGTAGTCACGCTTGTTATTTCTACTGCTTCGTTGGGGACGGCCACAGGAGAGGGTGCTTTCTTCTGTTCACTAGAATTAACCTGCTCAGTCGGCTTTAGGGGAGGCTGTATAGGCTGCTTGGTGGGAGAAGTAACACGAGGTAGGACAAAAGTGACCGGCATCTTTTCCAGAACCGGCAACCCATTCGAACGTTGCGTTGGTTGTGCTGAACTCGCCTCACCGATGGGGGACAAGTCCGAACTTACACCATTTGAGGATGAGGAGGAAGATGTGGAACTTGAGGAGGAATCGCTGGAAGAGCAATTACGCTGTTCGTACGGTTTGGGAACCAAGATGGGGGCATTTTGGTAGGTTGAGAATGCGATATTAGGTGGGTTATTCGACGTATTGCTCAAGCCGTCTTCTTCCATTATTACAGGGGGAGCAGGAGAAGGCCGTGAAGATGTGTTGAAGACAGAGGAATGGGCGGGTGATATGCTAGCAGGTGAGAGCGCCGGAGGGAGAGGGGAGTTGCTGCCGCGGTTTTGTTTCATAGATACATAGAGGGAGTCGAGACGGTTCTCCTCATTGTTCCTAGCAAATTTGCTGGGCGGTTGAGTAAGCGACGACGGCACAATGTCACGATAACCGGCAGCTGATCTTTGTACAAAAGGTTGATTCAAACCATCGCTTTGATGATTCATATTAAGTTCTCTGCTTTTGCGTCCGACTATTTCCTTGGAATCAATAAGACTGCTTTGCAATACCGTGCGAATCCTATCCATTTTCCATGTGAAAAGTTATTGCAATGAAAATGCAAGAATTGAATTTGTGCACACCAACCAAAAACTTCAAACCAATAGAAAATGGGTTTCACGATCTAGCCGATTAAATCAAATTGCGCAATAGATTGCTAGCGATTTAATGTAAGAAAACATCGGGGGTTAAAATATACGAGCTAAAAGTGTCCGATAATTGCCAAACACTATAAAATCTATTAAATATGAACAAGAATAAAAAATTGTTGTAAGATTACCATTATTTTGGATAAAATTTATATAGATGGCTTGATTTTCCGTGAACTGGTCAGTTTTACAATAGGCTAATACATTTGTTTCTAGACTGGCAATTTATGCCAGCTAGGTTAGGGGAGTAATGACATCTCTATTTCTTACCCCCAATTTTAAGCCGACATTTTATTGTACCTCCTCGAAGTCACAATAACACAATACAGCAAGGATAAATGTATAGTTCTAACGTGTAGATGAATTTCAAGGCTATTAGCATTCTATGAAAGCCCTTTTGCAGAGCTTATTTACAAGCTGCAGAGGCTGAAGTACCCGAGTAGTTGAAAGCAAACAAAATATTTACAGAAGCAGTCATCCAAATTCGCAATTCACTTTCAAACATAGCTTGTACTTAAGCCAACAAATAAGTGTAGGACGACAGTCTTTGATCTATTTCTCGGCCTTCAAACTGTTAGAACACCCAGGCTAATTCGGTTTTGTCATGTTTATTGCTTAAGGCAAATGGGGTGGTGGGCACAAGGTTAGGGAGGTTTGGACACAGAACTTTTCTCTGGGTTGTAGAATGCTGATAGTTCTCAATCACAAGGTCCTATTCGTTTCACCACCTCTTCTCTTAAAGAAACATTTAGACAACATAATTATTACACAGGACTCAAGTGTATACTAACTTATATACTAGTGCAATCCATTTATCAAGCAGTTATAAGCATTCTGTTTTTTGTAGAGCTTTAACCATTTTCGCTCATGCCTTATCCAGAAATTACTCTTTGAAACTGTAATACTTTGGTTTTTTTAACACCCAATTTTGGTAACGTTTCACTTAGGGTCTCTGACACTTAATTTCTCTCCGACTAGTGTGCCTTCCAGGCTATGCTGGTAGCCCAAATCCCTTCTCTATGTTTACGATGCATATTCTTCCAGAGTATTAAATATTCCTTTACCTTGGGGGATGTCTCAGGGCCCTACAGAAACACTGTTCACAGTGACCCCAGCTTTTTGCTAAATATCTTCCTTGGCGGTTACCTCCTATCAAAAATAAGGCTTCCTCTTAGTAGCTTTGTCAGCACAAATGAGCCGCTCTTGTGTCTTGTTCCCCATTCCCATTTTCTTACCACCTGGAGTGTATTTTTGGCTACTTCAAACGCCAGTGCTTACGAAAGAAGGCCTCAACACATGTCCAGGGTGAACCTTAGAGCCCTACTTCCTTTCTACACACTGGAATGTAGCTTGCATCAAACAGCTGTTTCTAAAATTTGACAAGCATGTTTCTGCTAGGACCGAAAAGGATCAGCTACCGTTTCCCCAATTCGTGCTTTGAGATAAAGTGGCATTTTAATGACTTGTTGCCAAAAGTTGTTGGCAATCGAAAAATAATGTGACTGTTACTGTGCATGTATTATACGGCTTAAACAAATATGCCTCAGTCAGTCGGTTCGGTAGTATTTATTGTACTCTTTATTATTTGCGCCATAATTTAAACTATAATCTCTTACAATTTCAGCGGAATCTAAATCATGTGATTTAAGTTTGACCGTTTCAGGCATCAAGCCTAACTCAGCCTCAAAGGCGATGGATGGATGGATACAGGATGGATGGATACAGGATGGATGGATGGATGGATGGATGGATGGATGGATGGATGGATGGATGGATGGATGGATGGATGGATGGATGGATGG